GTAGATTGGATAAATTTGAAGGACCAAAGATTATGTGTCCACTCCCAAATGAAAAAATGGTAATGTAAAATATGTAGTGTAAAATGATGCAAAAAATAGGCCTACTGGCCTTAACTATATAATTAAATGCGTATTCTTTATGTTGGAAACTTAAATTGAATATTTTAATTGTTTTGATGTCGTGCATGAAAGAGTTTTTCAGTCTCTCGGTCAATCACTATGTAATTGAAGAGTTCTTAAAGAAACCAAATTACAACCAACAGTGAAAATGGAAATGAAATTCTTTCGTTTGTGTAAATGTTCAACGCGGAGAAAAATCAGAGGACAAAATAGAGAAACAGAGTTCAGGGGAAGCATCTTGAAAATATTTGACAATGACAAAGATCAGATGACTACATTGGTGTATAGTATCGATCAAAGCAATAAATGCCGTTTATTGGTTAAGCCGGATTATAATTCCAGTGTTTAGGATCTACTGAAGATTAAACATTTGCATTCAGAAGTTTACAACTTAGCGCAAAATAACTTAACGGTATATCATCACATTCATATACGTCTTTCACACACTATACTGATGCCGTAAATTAGACGGGCGAATTTATCATAACCAGTTTCCCAACTAAAATAGTTTAGTTGAATTGGGGAAAACAGATTTACAACGATCTCGATACAATACGTAAAATGTTACTAATGCAGGGGCGGATCCAGGATGCTTCTGCCGGGGAGAGACTGGAAGGAAGGCGGGGTGGAAGCAAGCGTTCCTTTAAACATTGACGCGATTATAATTTAAATTTGCTTTTGCTGCTTCTGGGGTGTCAGCACTCATTTCGCCAATGCAATCCTGGATCCACCACACCACCACTGTACAATAATGTGAACTGTCATGGATCCACTGCTGTATAATGTGAACTTCCAATGGGTTCACGACTTGTACTGGATCCGAGATACGCCAGATTTTGCTTTCACGGTACAATAAACCTCTTGGATGTTCGTAAAAGCATAAAATGACATTTTAATATTTCTTAAAAATTAGTAACATGCATAATCTGAATGTACATCCTCAACATACAATAATTCTGATCAATATAACGTATCAATTGCTTGTAAAAACATTTTTTTTGGTTGTAATTTACTTACTATTTTCAACAGGATAAGAAGAAACTATGTTAGATATCTATTTATAAATATTTCAGTTAATCCTATGGTCAGTTATTTCAGATTAGTAACCGTTGAAAATAACACAATGTTTAATAATCAATCATGACAGAACACCACAAGATATTATAAACAAATTATTAATTATATTAAGTATTATTTTTTTCATTGGTAAACGAACATCATCACGTAATCCGCGCTTTTGGTGTAATGCTTGTCGACATCCATTTGACACGCTGAATCGCTGACGAAGTCATTAATTGTTTACAATATTTGTAATTTTTTATGTATATAACGAATATATACAACGCCAGATTAAAATATTTTCACTAGGAAAAGACAATATTAATTAAAAACCTTCCAAAAATCAAAATATTTAAGAAATTGCTAGGAAAAAGTACATGTTCATGTTTAACGTGATGATAAAAGAAAGAAGACACAAGCAACCTGTGGAAAAAATTGTTTAATGTGCAATCGCACAGGTAAATGCAAACTTTGAAACCAGAGTTAAAATATATCCTAAAATGACGAAAAACGGAATACATGGTAACTAAATGACATTTGCGGTCGCGAGAATAATACTTTCATGAAAAGTATTACCGTATTCTACGTCATTCAGAGAGTCCAATACATTGACGTCATAATCGCGCGTTAACCGCCAGGTCGTGTCTACTCATTGGCTCACAGCCAATCATAGGAAATAGTACTCAGAATGATTGCATTTCCAACAGTAATAGCAACAATTAAGAAGTCCGACTGTCCCACGAGTACGATCTCCTTTAATCTCCTATTTTATAATACCTTTTCACATCTAACATCAAGCTCATTCACAAATTACAGTGTGAATAAATGCTTTATAAACTAAGTCTCTTTAAGAGACTTACGAAGAACCCTGGGATTGAAAATGAAGCATCGTAACGACCAGGCTACAAATTTCAAATAGACTTCTATACATAATTTGAAAACAATGAACCATTCCGCTAAGCTCCGCCCCTTGGATATTGTTGCTAAGGTCCCGTAAAACGATAGTGTTAAAACATTCTCGGACACGTGCGTTTTGTGGGGCAACACGTCGTGTGCTCGTTGGACACGCGCGTATTCCTAGCACTGTTCTGATTGGTCAGTTTGTTTAGTTGATCTGGAAAGGTCCATTCTGCCACAAAATACAATATAAGCGGCATATCAAAAATATTCTGGTAAAGCATGCTGTTTTCGAGTACTTAGTTCTCAAAAACAACTAAAATATTCAATTTAAAAGTAAATATTATAAATGTGATAAATATTACTAACAAATAATTTCCATTTTGCTTTTTACATTGAAAATAATTTTGGAAATTTGAATATAATCTGATTTTATCAGCTCCTAAGCAAGCTGTGACAGGCCTTACTTAGGTTAGTATTAGTATTTCGAGGTGTTACTTATTATACATATGGCATGTAACAACTTTCAATACATTGTTTATATTATATAAAATATAACCTTATTAATAAAAACATCATACTATTTGATGGTTATATTAATGTTTGGTAATCTAAAATAAAAATGCTGAAAACGATTTAATCATAAATTAGGGTCAAATGAATATATATCATGATATATCAACAAAGATATATTATTATTATTACCAACATGATAATTTTTCTATTTCACTCTACAAAGATGTTGCATCACTGAACATCATCAACACTGTATAATCTACAAGAAAACCATCGTAACACTATCATAAAACTTCAATGCAACACTTGTAACACTCGCAAATTACCATCAGTATGATAGATTCGCACTAACAAACAAACAAAACACTATTGTACCATTATAACACAATCATAACACAAAAGCTGGGCACACACTCTGGTGACACGGAGGATGCATTGCAACAAGGTTTGCACAAAAAATCGTTTGACAATCCACTCAGACTGCCCCCAAAAACACAGCAGATGATGTTAGACCGAATTAGAGCAAAGGTGGATTTGTTGGATGAAGGTCATACGACTGTCACTTAATACAGTGTGTGCCTGACTTAACAAAACACCATCATACCACTAGTCATCATACCACCATCATAACACTGGACACTACCATACCAACACCATAACACTTTGTGTTATCATAAACACCATCAAAACACTACACACTAAAATAACACAATCACAACAGTAGATGCTATTATACAACCATCATACACTCAACACTATCATACCACCATAATAACACTAGACCCTATTATTATCAAAACACTGGACACTATTACACCATCATAACATTTATGTTATAACACCATAAAAACATTACACATTATAATAACATCATCATAACAGTAGATGTTTTCAAACAATAATCATACCACCAGACACTATCATAACACCATCATAACACTAGACACTATCACACCACCATCACAACACAATATGCCATCACAACACCACCATAACACTAACTCCATCATATCATAGTACAGTCATGTATCTATCATCAGAATCAGCACTTTTACTGAGGCTGTAATTCAACAATCTTTCAACACCAATCTATATTAGCTTCATTCAGTCCATTCCCTAAAGACTCCATTAGCTTGCTTCATACGGTAACGACGCATCTTTGATGAAACAGGAAACCACGTACCGATTACATTGCTTCCCGTTGGCAGCGTGCACGGTGTCCAGTAATTTTTGGTAAATTTTTTGCTGAATGTCTTCAACACTGGCCAGAATGTCACCGAACATCAACCGCTTTTCTGAATTTAATTTACTCATCATTTTGAACAGCAATGCAAAAACTGTTCCAACATTTGAACTCTGCAGTTGGTCTACTGTAACTTCTATTGCTCCACCTGTCCAAGTATTATTAATTGTTTTAAACAACTATCGAAAACCAGTACCATCATTTTCCAATGTCAACTTTGCATAAATTGCATTCTAATCCGTTGGTTTGAGCTTAGATCGAGGGGCTGGAGTAGGCCTGTTTGGTCTTGGAGGAGGTGGAGGAAACCGGTCTGGCAAATCCGCTGGAATGCCTGGTCGTGATGGAATGGCAGGTGGATCCCTACTAGGGCTCTTGGCCTGTTGAAAAAAAAAAAAATGGGTAAAATTTTTAATATATTTTTTTAATCATCCCAATTGTAGAAATTTAATTACTTTTTAATAGTTATATCCAGCTTGGTGACTGGCTATATACAATTTTTAAATATTTTATATGGTAAATGTAAGAAAAAATAATAAGGTGGTTATTAGGCCATGAAAAGCAATAGAGGGCATGCAAGCAGACTTATCAACAGCGAAAACTAATAAACACTTATATGGTAGGCCTACACGGATGTATTGTCAACAGAGAGCTTGTAGACCAAACAATGTACTTCAGATCCACAAACATTTTGCAGATAGAATTCATTTTGGAGGCAATTGTTTGTCGGTGAAATGTCTTGCCTGTGATTACACGAATCAGTGAAAGGTCCTTCAATCAAAAAATCTGTAAATAGATTAAAGACTGGTAGAAATAATGTCTTGTCAGAACAATGTCCTGTTGCTAGATTGACCTACTGTAGTAGTTTAAAACCCTGTCGATCATAACAGCCCACTTGAGTCATCTGCAAAGCAGGATTTGTATGTCAACGAAATGCCCTGTCACCGACATACAGTACATACATACTGTTCAATTTAAATTATTTGACAAATAACCATATGTGGATTCACCAGGAAGGAAGGATATTTTAATTATATATATTTTGTTTACCATTAGATATGAGTTTTTCATATCTACATTTTCATTTTGACCATTACAAGTACACAATACACTATTTTTGCACCGTGGTGCATGTAACGAAACAGTTAATTTGGGCACTTAATTAACTTCTTTAAGATTTAATGAACAGGAAAACAAATCAAGAATAGATTTGATTAAATTATTCATCAAATGATACTTCAGGCACCAGGATTTGATCGAGGGAGAGGGTTTATAGATAGATAGTCAAGGGTGGATCCAAAGGGGGCAAAAAGGTTTGTGGATTGAGGGACAACACTACCCTAGGGGGGTCCGGGAACATACCCCCAAAATTTTTGTTTTCTAGACAACCGGTAATATCCACTGACGTATTTTGGGCAATCAATAATTTCTTTTTCTTTTTTTTTTTTTTATTTTCCAAAAGGGGAGCTGGGGCCAGCTCGGTGCCGCTAAATCTGCCCCTGAAAGTCTATCAATATGTAGAGTGCTGTGAAGTAGCTTCCAATCTTGAATAAGTTGAGGCTGTTATGTGAGCAATTGCAGCATCGTGTTATTAAAGCCAATTGACAGTTAAATCTGAATATCTCCTAAAAAGAATTTGTAAAAACCCCAAAACCCTTAAATACATTTAGATTACATTTATTATCTAAATGTTATTTAATTACCTAAGAGAAGGAATAATATTTATCTGAGATAAATAACATACAAATTATAAGACTGTAGGTATATTTAACAATGCGATGGTACAGTACTGCTACATAGGGTAGTGGTGGTGATGCTAGTAGTAGTGGTAATAGAGTAAGCCTTGTTTAGTAGCAGTGGAGTGTCATTGGAGTATATGGGCGTAGGCTGGTGCACACTCCCCACCCCCAAAGGTGGCAAAATAGTTCCACTGGGTTAAAATACTAAAAATGATCGTTAGGTTTTTTTTTTTATTGGAATAGGTATTTAGTTCCACATTCTAAATTTTTGCACCACCTAGGCCCTTTCACACCCACAACATCTCCAGGCAGAAACCAGCCTACGCAGCTGAGAGTAGAGTAAAGGCGGGCACTCACTGAGCCTGGTGGTCGTTGGTTGACGCGATTCTATAAAAAGATGCAATGTGACGACGTGCGCAAAATGGATGGTTTTTAATGACGATCTGCTCGGCCTGGCACCAACAATTATCAATCAAACGGTGTCGCGAATTCGTTGTGCGACAGTCGTACGAAAACAGCGAGTGCCCGGCTTTAAATTAGAGTCGTGTGGTACTACGCTAGTCTGTCATGCATGGTGATTGAAAGAAGGAAAGTTAAACAGATTAGAAGTGGATGGCAGATGAGGTGAAATTAATTGTTAAAATAAGCACCGAATAATCAAGGTATACATAACTAGTTTTACCTTATTTCTACAAAATTTACCAACATACAAATTATGAGCATGAATATTATGAAGAGATAAGATGGTTTTTATATGCAGATAGCTAATAGTACCCGAACAAATTTACATTTAAAGTAAATGCATAGCACAAAAAAAAAAAAAACAAAAGTGCCAGGAACTATTACGAGGTGTTTGATGTGATTGAACTGTGAAGCAACATTTATAAAAAAAAAAAGAATTAGTTTTGAGTGACATATACAATCCTCTGACCAGGAGGGGGATTATAAAGCACCTTACCCTCATATCCTCTTCCCACTCACCACTTGGAATTGTGGGAAGTGGTATAGCAGGAAGTGGTATTTGCATCGTTCTATATCTCGAATCCACGTCTTCCTAGAACCAGAACCATCGCAAATTTTAAATTAAGTCATTTGTGTATTTATCCAAACATCGGTAGAAAATTATTCCATTAAAATTTTCGCATTTATCAGTATTTGTTGATTACTTAATTATTAAATTGGTATTTACTTATTAATCAATTAAACTATTAAAAAATATTTGATTGATTTTAATGTTACTGTATTAAAAAATAAAAAAAAAAACTTTTGAGAGGTTCAAATGGACAATTTAAAATGGCAACAGTTTATAAAGGTAGGAGAAAAACCCACAACCCCCACCATCACTGTGCTGAATTGTGTATGGGCGTGGCCCGTGACCACCTAGACGCAGTAAAGAGGCACTTGTAGATTCAGATTCATATCATTCCACAATGTGAACCCCAACTCTTCCGAAAGATGGGTTATTTCAAGTGCACACAAGCCAAATGTGTACACAGGACCTCTATTTTAAGTCCTTATATCAACCTAACCCTGTGCGAGTAGTGGCTGGAACCAGCACCGATGTTAAGGCTGCAGTTAGCCTTACTGCTTGGCCACTCAGCTTTTTGCTTACCATCATTTATACTGGCGAACAAGCAAGCCACTAAAACAGTGCCTTTGTATTATTATTTGTGTGAAAAAAAAAAAAACATTTTTTTTTTTTTTTTTAAGTTTTAGCAGTGACATATCCAAGATTTTGAAAATGGGGGTGCTGAATAGAAATATTACATCCAATGAACTGCACACAAGGCAAAAGAATAGGGACAGAGCACATCAATGGCTATGGCTACACCATAAATTGGTTGTTTTAAATGTCTAAAGAAAGTTACTTTGTCATTTATTTCCATTAGTTGACTTATTTTTTTCATGATTGAACAAAAAAAGGGGGTGGGGTTCTCAGGCTCCATGAAAACCCACTTGGTTACGCCACTGGGGAGATCCTAGATTAAGAGGCGAACCTAGATTAAGAGGCACTTTAGGCTCTATAACTGGTGGTTCTGGGCAAATATCCTTAAAAGCAAATGGCATAGACTAAATGCATCTAAGGCTACCCTTTACCCAACAACAATGGGAGGCAATGTACTTAAGCCTGGCCTAACTTCCACAAGGTAGGAAAAAAAAAACAGCACTGCTACTATCCGCCTACCACCATTTTTTTTTATTATTGTTATATCAATATTAGTTAATTTGGTTATAATTTATATCAAAGCTAGAATGTTATCTTCATTCACCTTTAAAGTAGAAACTAATTTTTTGCTAATAACTAATCAACCTTTTTTAGTATAGGAATAGATAGTATTTATCTACAATGTAGAGCTAGAAAATTGAATGTCGTTCAATGTTGAATATGGTTGATGACAAAGTGATAATGTTGACAAAACTATAGTGTCATTAAAAAAGATCTTAACAATGTATGATCATACAAAAATCTGACATACAAATATATACTACTGATTATCAGATATGTCTGCAACAAATATATACACAATGGCAGATCCATGAATTTGAGATATGGGAGGCCCAAAGAGGGACTCTCACAGGCTGGGGTCTAGACTACCTCAGCCCCACAAGAGATTGAATAGTTTACTTAGCCATTACTTGGTCATATAATTTCTATTATTACTTAAATTGAGCCAACCAAAAATAATAATAAAATGCTATCAAAGTAACGTAGTATACACTATGTATTTTTAATAACACAAGTTAGATTAAACTTTTTGAAGATTTCAATTTCATACCTCCTCAAATATTGAGCTATCCCTACTGCATGTGCTTGCACGACCTGTGAAACATAAAAATGTTTGTAGTTATGGACCAATTGGATAAGCTGTACCAAATCACTACATTCATTAGCTTAGGATAAGCTGGCATGTCATTGGTTAATTCTTGTTACAAGTGAATAAGCTATATTGTGATTGGACAGTTCTTAAAGTAAACTTACTATGTGAACTTGCTGTGCTAGATGGTCTTGATCCAGGTTTACTATCAGGCTGAAGCTGAATAAAAATGAATATTCATTAGATCCATTACCATTTATTAAAATTCAAGAATAAACATGGTTATTAGCTTTGTAGGCAAATTCGGAAAAAGAAATAGATATTCTTCAACTATTATTAATAGATGCATAAATAAATAATACTAAAGAATTGTCAGGTAAAACATTTTATAATTTTATCTTTTTTAACAGATTGAGTTACAATAACAGAAATAGCACTAAATCTTAAACCTTCACCAGCTTTATATAAGGCCATCCTTACAACTTTTCATTATCCTTTCCCTGATAAGTTTTATACTGTAGTATACTAACCGAAATGTTGGGACACTACAATCCAAACGGTCCTTCTCAAAACCAAATTCCAAATACTAAATTGAGATTTTTATCATATGCCACATGGTGTATTAAAAGCTTATAAATTAATTATTACAGTACTAATTTGTTTTGTAAATGTTGAATATATTTGAAATATTTACTCTTTGAAGCAATAAATTTAAGAATTTCTGTTGGGAATGTCAGTCAATCTGAATTGTTTAAAGTCATGTCTTATTGGCAGTTAAAGTATAAATATTCATATCATTAAAATATAATAATTATAAAAATCAAACAATCAAAATACAACACAAAAATTGTAATGATATTTACCCCTTGCTGTGTGTCATGTAATATTGGCAGCTTTGGACTACCTAAAACAAAATAAATAATAAATCATTAAAAATAAATATCTAACTATTGTTTTGTTGTATTTTACCAATAAGATATTATTTTACTAGCGCATGTGTATGTCAAAGTCAAGATATATACATAAACATTTTAGCATATTGAACAACTACTGTAGTAACAGAATAAATATCACTTTACACACATAGATTCCATTTATCTTGAAGTACTACAGTACCTGATAAAATCAGTGTTCATCATCTTCCATAATATATCTATTAGGCATCTAACGCTCCCCTTCTCTCTGCTATTATTATTATTAGGATTTATAGAGCGCTTTTCCAAGAGACCAAAGCACTGTACAAAAACAGATTTTTAAAATAAATTAACATGCATCCATCTTTCCTTGCCCTAGTCTCTCACTTCTGTACCTAGCTTTCACCATTAGTCACTCTACAGTGTATGTTTTGTCTCCTTGTGCACTATAAATCAGTGAAAAAAACTGATCTGTTTTGATCTACGTCTCCTTGATTGTTGATCGATTATTTTTTAGGATTTTAATGGCAGAAAGATTCTAAGTTATGATCCATTTAAACATGGGAAAATATCACATTAATGAAATAAACCTGAATGAATAATAGAGTGAAAAGTTTGAAGTGAAGGAAAACCATAATCATGCCACAAAAAAATTGATGCCCTCCAGCGAACCAAATTCAATTCCCCTACTTTCAGCAGCATATGGTTGTAAAGTTTCTGAGACTGTACAAAAAGCTGCACGCTCACTGACTCACAGAACCATCTGCCTTAAAAAAGCCTACTCTGCTTCCTATGAGCGTTAGATGACGTAACATCATCTGATGATTGTCAGTGGCAGGCTAAACGAATTGTAAATTAAAAACTATCTGTTGCACGCATGTTGCGTCACTGCATTCTCGATGGAATCGTGTCGGCCAACAACTGTCGCGCGAAGTGAATACCCGATTTTGAAAATCAAATGCAGACTAATTAGTGAAAGCTTAATAGAAACAAATGTCTAAATCTCATCAATCCAAAAATAAATCATCATTATTAAATTCAATTAAAATTGTTCAAGATATACTCATATGGTGCAATAGCAAATGGGTATGTACGGTATATATAATTATAATAATTATTATTTAATTATAATAAATTTTCAATAAACTTATTTGTACCGTCGTCTGCTCGAGCCCGTAGACCCTCCACACAAGACATTGCTCTTTCCTTTTCTGAAACAGGTCAGAGGTAAAATTACTTTGCATCACGGTTTCAGCGAAAGTTCCCATCATGCAATGGACATTCCCTGTCTGATACATGCATAATACATGCAAGATTTTTGATTAATTTGAATTTCATTTCATTTATTTTGTCCAAAAAACATTAAAATTGACAAACACAAGATAACAGAGAGCAAAAAACAACACTCAGTTGGGCGGACAGGATTGCCAAAAAGTGAACTGAATCACTGTCTAGTGGCTCTCTGATGCCAATGAGAACATAAATTAAATTAGCATAAAATATTCAAGTAAAATAGGCCAATCAATAAAATTTAAATTAAAAAATATATACAGTATGTACAAAACCATCAGTGAAATCGGTCAAAATTGCAGCGAAAAACAAAAGCTAAAAAGTTTGTTTTACAATGGTAAAATTTGAGACGAAAAATTAAAAAAGAATTATTGCTTAGCATAAAATAGTTTTAAAATTCTGATAAAAGATTCAATTCCAAAAACAAGTTCATCTCGAAACATCAGCGGGAAGTTTATCCCAAACTCTTGGAAAGTTATTAAACAAGTAAAATTTAAAACTATTAGTACGCGAGTAAATGTGAATAAATTTAAGATGGTGTGATACAAAAATATATACTATATTTTGTTAATATTTTTTCCATTTTTTTCCACCTAATTTTCCTTCCAAATGTTTCAGACAATTGAAGTAACTACCCCAATCTTCTTTTATTGTAACTTATTGTAAATTAATATTAAAAATAGAGAACTATATTACTAGAACAATAGTGTCTTTCACTCCAAACAGAATACAGAAAAAAAAAATCAATGGGAAAGAAAAAATTTAAATGCATTCATATATATTTGCTTCTCAAATAAATAAAATAATATTTATTAATTACGTTAATGTTATTTTATCAACAAAACATGATTAGCAATTTTTGTTAATTATGATATCAAAATAAGAGGAAAATGTGTTGTAAAGTATAGTTTGCACCATGCTAAATGAAATAATTTATTTTAAAAACAAAATTAAAGATTAATCTTAATTGCATTTTCAGAATATTAAGAATTTAAAAAGAACAAACTAAATTAGTAAATTCAGATTTAATGTATTGCCATTGTATTGAGTCTATTGTTTTCTATTTCAAAAAAAAAAATCAAAAAAAATCAGTGTTTTTTTTTCTTCTAGAGCCTGGCTTTCATTGTCATTTCATCAAACATGCAAACAATAAGAAAGATGCAAATACAAGGCATTTTTCCAACATTCTTTTCCATCCATCAGCAAAAAACCTCAATGATTCATTACATTCCAAGTCAGGTTAATAGTAACTTCACACCTTCATCGTCATGTTGTCACCACCATCATCATTGCTATCATTACCACCACAAACTCACCATCACCACAATCACCATCAAGCATCATCATTACCATTGTTGTAACCTTTGTCATGTTCAACAGCTTGTTTGAAGTGCAAAAAATCTTGTTTTAAGTATACCAAGAAATATGAACTGTTGTGACAATCATCAAACAATGAATGGTGTTCTAGCAAGGTAATTCAACAAAAGGACGCACATCTCCGCTCTCGAACATAGCGCGTGCGTACAGTCCTTTGATCTTTACTGTGGCATTGACAATCTGATACTAGTTGCGAGTACAGCCGTCAATTATTAGTCTATGCGTGCCATTCGTTTTATGGTGTTAGTTTTTATTTTATTAATTTTGGGTACTTCGCAATGTCTGTTACATTTGATTTTTTTTTACTATATGGGTATTATCATTGATATCACCACCGAGTCTGTGAATTCTACTTTGACAGTAACTTTTATTTTCAAGTGCAATTTGTAATTTGTATTATATAACATCTCATTACTGGATTCTAAATTAAGATTCCTTAAAATTATTATTTTAAAAAACAACAAATTTATAAACTTTCCACGTCGAAGCCAGCTTTCCACCGTGCATCGGTTAACATGTTTTAGTTAAAATAAAGAATATGTAATCAATAAAGTACTGCCCTATTTCATACATTCACAAATTCAATTTCAAACCTTACTCAATTATAAACTATATAGAAAATAAAATTAAATGAATAAATATATAAGTAAATACAAATTTCCCAATAAATAAATATAAAAATAAAACAAAATAACTTACACTTTACTTGTGTTTAATCAAACTACTGCCCTAGTTCATACTATCACAAATTCAATTTTCAGACTTATATTCAATTATAAACTACATATAAAATATAATTGAATAAAAAATTACAGCTATATAAATAATATATAAATAAAACAAAATAACTTACACCTTATTTGTGTTTAATTAAAATACAGTCCTATTACATACTTTCACAAATTCAATTTTCAGACCTTATTCAATTAAAACTAATTATATAAAACTAGTCATGCTGAAGAGGACCTGAGGTCAGGTCGAAATATTCATGTTGTAATAAAATAGTGTTCTAAAGTCTACTCCGTTTCCTGTTTTCTTTCTTCTTTATATAAAACTATATATATATAAATTATAATTAAATAAATAAATGTAAGTGAATAAAAATTCATATAAATAAATTTATAAATAAAACAAAATAACTTACACGCTATTTGTGTTTGATTTTTTTTTACTTAGAAATACAAAAATTTCCAAAAACAGACAGTGAAATTGAATACTATAACATCCAAACTATAAATAGCTGTTTGATGAGGGAGAAATATACACAAACTTTGGAAAATACAAAAATATGAATCTATACCTATGTGTTCATTGAGTGCTTGGGTAATACTTGGATGTGATATGATATTTACTGAATGACTGCGCTTTGCTTTTGGTGTACCCACTGGAGTTGCTGCAATTACAATAATAAACCATATTAACAAAATACATAACAATCTCGTGCTTTCCTTCAGAAATTTTCCAATGTGACATCATAGTATTTGGCATAGAAGAACATTATACAGGAAGTCTTTAAGGATGTTCCATTATATTTTTATAATCACCGGATACATTGGCAAACATACACAACATGCAAATACCAGGGATGTATTACAAGCCATGCAAGAACATTCAGTTTAGATTTAAAAATACACTGCAGCATAAAACATTTCAGCCTACGAAGGTGGAGAAAGTAAAATGGACAAAATAGAACGAAAACTCCAAACTTCATGTTTGAAAGCCAAACCACAATCACTGCATCACATGATGTTAATATATATATATATTTTTTTTTTTTTTTTTGGGTACGAGATGGAGTGGACATTGTCCAAAATTGCAGACAAATAAAATTGCATCATCAACTAACAGGAAAAAATGATAATGCTGCGTTTGCATGTTCCATTATTAGTGCATTAACTAAAATAAGCTTAAACTTGCAACAGCAAAGAATTGAAACCCAAGGATCAATGGGATGCCCCCACACTAATAATGGTAAGTTGTAACCAAACACAATGTGCTACTGCTTCACTTTCGTGGGACTGGCAGCCTAACTCATGCAACCTTACAAACATTCCCATCCAACCAGGTACACTTATGGGTGGAAGTGAGGGGAACATAAATAAAAGGCATTGGCCAAGTTTACATATATCCTGATATTGCAAACCAAACAAGCAGTAAGTTTGCACAAAAACAAGACTCAAACTCTTTGAAGCAATGACAACGGATGGTATTAGCAGAGGGAATGTTTGAATCCAAGAAACATAAGCAATTTTTGAAATGGATGGGTATCTGAAGCAAAATTGCTGAAACAATAACAGATTATAACCTCATCAAACAATACAGCAGATTCATGGGAAAAAAAGACACAAAACTCTTGCGCACAAAAAAAACCACAATGAAAACACAAGTAACAAATATATTATAAACATGCATATAAAAATGCACAAATTTTTAATTGCTTGCAAATTACCATATCATACATATTTTGTATTTCATTCCAAATTCATGAATTAAAAGCACACACCAAATATAGGAATGCAAGCAAGAAAGACTTTTTCAGACAATAATTACTCCACCCTCAATAGTGGAGGTTCCTACCTCTGTTAATTATTGATGCAATAAAACAAAAAGCAAAATGTTTATATAGATTAATCCTTTATATTTATATGAATGATTTAATTTTATATATAATGGAAATTTTCTATAGAGTTGATAAGAATATTTGATTACTTCTGGTAAAGTACAACCTCCTCCAATCACTCCCTAGGATGTAAGAAATTGTTTCGGATTCCAGTCACATAACCATCAGTTGGTTGTGATGATGAACGCACACGACCGCATGCGACTACTTGATTCTACTAAGTGTGTTGTTAGCTGGGTTGTTTTGTCGGAAAATATTTTCTCGGTGTGTTGATTCACGAACGAGATAATGAAAGCCCTCCAATGACTTAAGCTACTGCATGACCGTTTTTTATATTTTTAATAAAACCAATTTCTTATATTTTTAAAAATCATTTTCCCCTGAATTTGTGATAATTTGTTATCACGCACCGACTTGTGCTAATGGTGTGACAAATTTATGATCACGCGTGTGTTTCTGCAAAATGCGTGTTTCATCCAAAAACACTTTAATTTGCGGGACTGTCCCACACAATGCACAACGGTTGGTAGCTATGCTACTTGGTACTATTTTATACTCCTGGGTAGAGAAAGACAACAGGCGGTAAGTGCCTTGCCCAAAACACACGTGAAATTGACTACATATGATTTGAACACCCGACCTTAAGTTTACAAGCATGATCTGCCAACTGTGAAATAAAGTGAACCTTGAACCTTGAGATGGTGCTCTATTGAAATTTGCATTTCAGAACGATGATGGGAATCGAACCGGGAACAATGAGATCTCCACAGTTTATCACAAACACAGTGGCTACCACCAGTTTAGCCGACTGAGGTAATCTGCTCTGTAAATGTTAATGTTCAAAAATCAAATTTTATGTAGATATAATGCAAGTTTCATCATGCTAAGTCACTTAAGTTTCGTCATGCTGATCACTTAAATTTTCATCAATTTTTTTCTCATTATCACGATTGCAGACCAGTGGCGTATCTAGCAGTCTTGAAAAGGGGGGGGGGAGAGATTTTAGGTGATTTTAACTACTTGCAAGTGATTTTTGGAGGGCGACTGGGGGAAGCGCTAGTAATTTTTGGAGGGGGTGTGCATCCCCGCGCACCCCCTTAGATATGCCACTGTTGCAGAGAGAGCATGCCGTAAATGCGAATGCGAGGCAGGCATATTGACTGTAGTCAAACCTGTATGCCAAACAGACGGTGATGTGTTACTCCGGTACGAACGAAACGTTTCAACTACTGCATTGCAAAAAAATAAAAATGAAATGTATAAACACAAAACCTAGATATCAAAACCCTTTGGATATGTTTGAATTTTAAGAAAATCCCAATTAATTATATAGTGACCTCTTTATATTGAAAGTGTAAATTTATGTTTTCTGACATACCTCTGTATATTACATAATTCTCTACTATAGAAACCAGGATACACCTAATAACAACTCCTAATAACAACAATAGTAACAATACTAGCAATATTAATAATAATAATAATAATAATAATAATACTTATAAAATAATAATAATAAAACAATCATTATAAAAACAAAAAAATGAACAATAATAAAAATATATTTTATATTAGAGTATTGTGTTGAAATTTCTCTATATTTTGATTTCTATTTGATTCCCTGATTTTATTATTCCAGACTTGAGTTGTCACAGTAAAGTATACCAGGCTATAAAACTAAATTAATTTTAAATTAAAAAACCCTAAAAATTAATTGTTAAAGCAATCATAAACATTTTAGCATATTATCAAGTTTATCAAATAATTACAATAACCGTGATAATAATGCAACACATAAGGAATAAGAACATAATGCTATAATGCTAACAAAATGATGCATGTAAAGTGTTCTCTTGGTTATATGTGGATTCAAGGAGACAAAACAGAGGAGACTTGACAACATGAACAAACAAACAAAAAAATGAACTGCACTGTGAAGACTATATTACTGGTAATCAGAGTTATAGCTACTTTGGTCAGTTTAGCTACGGTTGTCGACACTGGACAGTAGTATCCCACACTTAATAATTCTGACCAGCACCAAAACAAACATTCTAGAAATTTGAACTCTTAAATGCCAAGAATTAGTTAGCACTTAATATTTTTCAAGCTATAACCCTGCTGATAATAATATAGAAGTTGAATCACAGATGAAAGTAAAATGATACAAATCTATGTATACACACACAAATATGAAATAGTCTTTAGTTAGATTTAAAAAAAAGTATTTTTTAAATTATAAAAATTCCATTGAAACACTATCTGGTAAAATCTGGCAAAAAAAACGTCTTAAATATTCAATTAAAACAAATAATTTGTCATTTAAATTGATAAAAAAAAAAATTATAATTTTTATGATTTACAAATTACTTGTTTACAATTTACTTGTCTACAAATGTTTTGATCACCATGAAATAAATTTCTATGTGAGTAACACAATAACAGAATTGTGTCTGATAATAGATGAGCTAAATATTTTCTTATTTTAAATTTCAAATGTAAGGTAGGTGTTTCAAAAAATAAATTTTATTGTTCACAATTACTATCTTAACACAGACAATATATCTTTAAATGAATTTTCTGTTTAAGACTTATTTTTATAACAATTTACTTTAAATTTGAAATGGAGAATTTGATATGGTATGCTTGAATGAATCAACAATGGTAAGTATAATCATGATTTTTTTCACTCAGTGAATTATATCGTAATTCCAGACCTCGGATAGGGAGTGTTTGGGTGGAGCCCGTCTTCATTTGTAGCAATTTTCGTGAACCTATTAATAGAACAATTTTTCATATTTTCATAATTTAATAAACACAAAGAAATACTCTAAGTTTTGAAAGCTAATCATAAAAAATATGAGATGATGCATGCCTCTTTTAAGTTATTTTGATCTTCTATTGTTTGTCAAATTTTATTCTTATGGCTATTTCTGACAAATAAAAATTTTTTTGTATTTTATATATTGATTTCATAAATAATATCTAACAATGTGAAAAATTGTCATGATTGTCTGTGATATTTGTTAATATTCTAATTAATGTCATGAATTTACATGAATATGTAACAATTCAATGTTTTTTATTATAAGTTACAATCAATATACATATTTTTCAAAATAACGGATGAAATGGACTTGATTAAATTTTAAATGGGAAGCCTTTTAAACTCTTTTTTTAATGTCAAACTATTTTTTTTTGGTGTTCCTGTACAATAATGCAATTTTAATGATGTGAGCAAGACATTTTGGTTATAAAAAACAGTAAATGTACTGAACTGTACAGTAATTAAATTAACATTTTATTTAAAAATTGGTATTTGAAATACTATATTTCTGATTTTTTGTCAAATTATTCTGGTTTTCCTGAACAACAATGCAATTTTATGATGTGAGCAGACATTATTTATCCATGAAATTTTTATATACAACTATAATGAATTAAATGACAAAAATATCAATTGCTATCATAAATCAAATATATTATATAAGTTAATATAAATTATTAATTAGTGTAAAATGAAAACTAATGTGAAATTCTAAATATATCTATATGGATTTATTATGCTACTTCAAAAACCCAGACCTGTGTTCGGGAGTGTATTTGAAGAACCTATTATCATAGGCGAAGATTGGCTGCGAGTTTTAAGTTTGCGAGTATCTGAAATCATAATACATGTTAGTAATTGGAAAAATAACCAAACAGGTATAAAATAAATGTATGATAGCATTAATAAAAATATTAATAATACCAATATTAATAATTTTGCTTTTAGCATAAGTGAGGTGTTGTGACAAAATAGGTACACGAGGCTAATTTTATTAAATAAATACCATATACGAAATTTTTGTTTTACTTATATTTTCATGAAAGCTAATGTTCCAAGTTTTTAAGTATGTTTTCTTTTTTTTTCCAAAATTTATAGGAAAACAACAACAAAAAGTTGTTTATCCTTAAAAACAATTGTCTCCAATGTATGTTTTCAAGACAGTGGTGGTTCCAGAAATTTGCTGACAAGGGGCCCGACATGTCCGTCGGGGGAAGGGGAGAGGTCTTAATCAAGGGGCCGAGGTCTTAACCAAGGGGCCGTCTAGAGCCTTGGTCCTGGTCCTGAAATAAAAAATCCATGGTAGTGTTCACAGGAGAGTTTAGAGCTAAGTATGGTCCAAATTTTTAATATTTGGACTGGCGTCACCACTGTTTCAATATCAAAAAGATCATATTCTGGCTATTTTTCAAAATAGGAACATAACTTAAAAAGTTATATAATGCTTTATGTGATTTACTTATCAATATATTATTAGCAACTAATTTTACATGTTTAGTACCAATACACTTATTTTGAGACTAAACCTCACATATTATCATATTAGAAGCAATTATTGGTTAAGTAAAGATAAAAATATATTTTCATGATGTATTTTTGTGAAGGGGTATCGTGGGTTCACTTCAGTCACTTGTAGGTCTCCCACTGCCACTTTCCATTAGTTTTATTATATTTAAACAAATTTGCATTTTATTACCTCAATTTTGCTTTTAAATAGTTTTATGCTATAGTATCCATTCTTCTCTTACCTTTTTTTGCTTTTTTCTTTTTCAATTCATTCTTAAGCTGAGAAAATAATTAAAAAAAAAAAAAAAAAAAATTAATATTGTATTTATATTTCATATAAGTATTAACTCATATCCCAGAGCAAAATATAGCTACATTGATGCGTTATATACACCTGGGTTAGATGATTCCATTAATATTTGTGGGTAAGTTCCAATAGAAATCAGGTTAATATCGGTTCATACAGGTAAGTATTCACAAAATAGACAAATAAAACCTTGTACACATGAAAGTTATCTGCTTATGCCAAAGTACATTTGTGACATTCAGCATAAACATGTAACTCTGGTGTCCGGTGGATTTACGAGTGACTACTGGCTTTTATGGTGCTCACTCCAAATATCGAGTTTGTTTGGTAATTTTTACTACGAATACCAAAATCTTACTATGAACTTAAGGTTTTGCACGAAAAGCTAATAATGATACTCAGAGCAATAATTCTAAATATTAGAACTAAAAAAAAACCCAAAAAAACCTCTTACTGTTTGTGGATCAATTCCAAGAGGTTTTGCCACTGTAAATTTTGGAAACATCTCAAATATCTTGACTGCTTCATCCACCGTAATTTCTTTCCGTGCAACTCGTTTTTGGAGGTCAATCAGCTGCAACTGGCCAGGGTCGAGGTTTGAATGCAGAAGGCTGTTTTCATTGTTATCTGAAAAAAATTGTATGTTTCTTACCTCAGCCACAATCATGGTGGGGCTGTGGTGTTTGTGAAACCATTACTGCTGCACCAAAACCTCTTCCACAATGTGTACAACTGAATTAGAAGCGGTTTGGCGAAGCGGGAACGGTTTGATTTCCCAACCTTAATGTTAGGGGTTTTAATCCCTCGCTGTTCATTTCGCTTGTGTCTATTGGCAGCAACACTTCAGCATGCGAACCCAATGACAAGTGGAAACAAATCGCTTTTTAACCTAAAGGAAGGCGTTATGCAAATACCAAATAATAAAATAAACTATAAACATTGTATTTACCTTCATTTTTTTTCTGTATTGATGGCGATTCCACAGGGGCCTGCTCTTCCTTTACGGCTTGAATTGGTATTGGGGGCGCTTTTATTGCTGTCGATGGAAGCGTGTCATACAAACCATAGACATCCTCAAGAGTTCCTGTAATTCAAATCAATAAAAAAAAAAATTATAAATTTTAACCAGCAATATTTATTTATTCAATATTATTACATAATGTTTTTTAGTCCATTATTTAATTTCCAAAGTGGATTGAATACAGAAAAATTGTTAGCTAAAAGTACATGTTTATAGCTAGTTTCCAATAAAGTCTGTGGTATATGTTATATTTTATACTAAGATTCTTAGCCTCCTTACCTGTTTAATCTCCCAGTTTTGAGTAGCATATAATTACTAGGAAGCTAAAGAGAGGAGACACTAAGGAACAGTAGGGTATTTTTTGTATCCAAAATGCAGCATTTATGGTGCCAGGCATAGCTGAAGCATCAACGCATTGTACGATACATATTAAATATTACAATAATCACGCATTCAGTTCGAAACATATAATAGCAAACAGGGGCCGATTTAGTGGGGTGCCAAGCCGACCCCCAGCTTCCCCTTTTGGAAAAAAAAGAAAAAAAAAAGAAAGAAAGCAAGAAAAAGAATTTATTGATCACCCAAATGCCTCACAAAGGTTATTTCTGGGCGTCTAGAATTCCCAAGACGCTCTAGGGTAGTGTTGTCTCTCGATCTGCCCCTTTGTGGGCTCTCCCATATCAGACATCTCTAGATGCGCCCTGGCAAAGAAGAAAACTCTATGGCCCTGCAGATGTTTAGCGAAAAAGTAAAAACGATCTGGCTCCAAGACACTAACCCTCTCTGTGCCCAAACCCCACTTAAACCTGTTAAATTCACAAGTGTGCTGCCTCTGATATTATACAGATGAATATTTATAGGCCTACTAAAATTCATTCCTTTTAAAAGGAAAGTCTAAAATACACAAAATATGGTTTAAATACAAGCAACAAGTCAATACTCCAAGATTACATAACAAGAAGGCAATGAGCATATGCACAAGGAGTTGATAGAAAATCATGCATGAAAGAGATGGAGTAGCAGGCACTGGGAATGAATGAATGAAGCAGCAGGAGTAGGGGATGGTTATACATTAGAACAATTGGAAAAAGGGACATTGGTCAGAGATCGCGATTACTGGAAACAACCAGCCTCAGGAATTGCAAATTTGTGAATCCTCCAATTTGGCCAAATATTGCTGTTATTTGAACAAAAATATCATTTACACAAAAACATACACTAAGTGAGTTTGTTGGGCTATTTTGCTCACAAGACTACCAACTGAGTTGAACTTTGTGCAAAAGACTTCTGGGATAGCACAAAAAATTGGAATTTTTAGGATAGTAAAGCTAGGATTCTTGCATTGAAATGCCAGCCAAACAGATATACTATATTCAATATTTGAATTTGAAAAAAATTAAGTTTCACTTCAAAAATCATTAAGTTGTCTAGCAGTTAATTAAAAAGTACTCTACACCAAGAATATTGGAAAAATTGCTGCTGCTTTAAATAGGCATCAACTAGCAAGGAAAATTTGTCCTCATTCTCCAGTTGAAAGCTTTAAATACAAAAGTAAGCAATCCATATTTTAGTTTATTATATGGCAATTATTTAAGGCCAATTTAGACAGCGTCGTACGATGCAATTTGTTGTCGCATCAGGTATGTACGAGTTAAACAAAGATGCTATAGGTCTGCGTCGAGGACAGTAGCGTCATAGAATATTAAAAATGTTTGTATAATATTCTCACATCGATCAAAAGAAGGTCTCAACGATACATATCGTGTCGGACTACGTTGTACGAGGCTGTCTGATTTGACCTTTAAACCTCTAAGCTACAGTTTTACTATGGAAATTTAACTGGATAGTAAGGATGGATCTTTTCGGATTAATTGGTTGTCCAAGAACCATTGAAGACGAAATGTTCTCATTTACCTTGTAAAACCGCTTCAACTTTGTATGCTGGGATAGCTACCGGAAACGGCTTTGTATACCTCATCTTTTCAGCTTCAATAGTTGCAGCATTGCCTGAAATGCATGCAGTTAGATAGATCAAGCAAAAAGAAATTTAAACAATCAATTACTAGCCTTCTCATTAGGCATTAAGTTCCTCATTTGGGGGCTTAGTGGTTGAGATGCTGGGCCAAAGCACACCTCTCTGGGGTGAAATAATACATTAAATATTCAGGAATTTTCTAGACGTGTGGGCTATCTTTCCTTCTTATGAAATGCACTTATGGAAGGCAAATGGTGTAAAAATATGTCAAGCCAGAATTTGGTATTCACTTGTGGATTCAATGAAAATGTTCACTACAATGTCCGAGTGATTAGAAAAAAAAAATCAATGTAAGCACATTTGTGTATTCATATGATCTGAAAATTTCCAATATGACAACAATTAAACACAATGTATGTCGCAACAATTTTTGATTAGCTATTGATAAAGTACTGTACAACATTTTAGAGCTTACAATAAAATGGTACTTGTTTAAATATGTATTGCTCTCATCAAACATAAAACATATTCAATCAAAACTGCTAATTTTTAAAATGAAATGAAGGCAAGTTGACAAATCTACAAGCTCACAAGCTTAATTTTATAGGGTTCTCAATCATCAAAAAAAAAATTTGAGTTAGAACAAAATGTTTGTTACAATTTACTACCTAGACGCCTGCACAAATCTGGAAGAAATATATCGTAGCACCATCAAGGCGCCTTAACATTAGGGGGATTTTTTTTGAGTTTCTCTATTTATGTCAATTAGAATATCGTAAAATATACACTATACAAATTTACAAAATATTGAACAAAGAGTTGTCACACTACAAATGGAACACATGCTAGAATTCATTATTCAAATTACAACAGTACAGCACAAGTATAGTTATTACATATAAGTAGAATGCTCTCACCACTTCAGTAAGTAATGATACAAAGGATTATAAAGTGAGCAGTTAACCTAGATTTCCTCTATTGGAAGTATAATTTAGTATTGGTCAAACATTAGGCCTTAAAATATAAAAAGGCACACAATTTTCTACTAAAATGCTAAAAAGTTATACATGCAAAAATTATATTATAATTCAAGGTGCTAGTTTGGGCATTTACTATGCTCTTTAGAACCCTTACCATAAGGTGATTTCTTTGTGTTTTTGTCCATTTGAACATAAGGATCCGGTCCTTGGGGGCTAACTGGCCCATAAAGGTCATTGTCCTGAAACAAGAAAATATTAATATATATTAATGTAAAATACATATTGATATTATCATTTATACCACTTTAAATATCGAGGTTGCAGTAGTGGGTAGATAGGCAGAACAGACAGACGTTTAAGTTACTAGACTCAAAGAACGTTCATCTGGATCTAATAGCGTGATCTTTGACCATGTTAAATCTTGTGATATGTTTAATTATATTCTTGTCTTACACAATTTACCGGGATTGTAAACCAAGTAATTCGTTAGGGTTGATTTTTAATAGCACTAGGATTATTGACAGTTCTAATAAGTGGTCACATTTATTGTTTAAGGAGACTTTCGCTACTAATAAACGGTTCAACCCATTACTTAACAATGGACTGACCCCGGTATTCTTAAAACGAACTTTAGTCGTAGTTCTAGCTAAAAATTCAAAATTACGTCATTTCGGATTCTTAAAAAGAACTCTGACTAGCACTGCGACTAAATGACCCGAACCTCGACTAAAATGATACCTCCGCAGGCTGATTTTTTTAGTCAACCTAGGGTTTTTTGTAACTCACGATAAATTGAAACGAATAAAAACGATTGTATACGCAGGTTTGATATAATAATAATAATAATAATATGTCGCTCTTATATAGCGCTTCATGCACAATGCCTCTAAGCGCTTCACATTACTACCCCGGTCATTGGATCAAACACATATGGAACACATACTCAGCTCCCTGGGGAGAATTCCATAATATTGCAGCTAGTAATCAGCATTGTCTTAGATATGTCTTTAGAGACATCAAGTTTAGCTTCCTAAAGGAGAAATTAACATGATTTTTCCAGCCACATGCGATAGTTCCTGATTTGCACAAAATCCCCTCGTGCTGCGATCACATAATTTCGCCATAACAACAACAATGGCGCTGCCCTCGCTCGGGCTCAACTATAACAGTTCTCCAAAGAAAGCAAATTTTCAGTGACTGTTCAAATTCTCTATCGTAATATGTTAACAACTAATATAGTTATTATTATAGAAAATTAATTAAGGGAATGATGATCTATTATGAATTATGAGGAAATATGTTTTTGAACCACAGACGGCAGCTTAATATTCATCTGCATTACCGGATCTCTAAAATTTCGTCTGCTTTTAATATTTGCTCTTTTCATTGGTTAGTTTGATAGTTGTTGCTTGCCAATCGTCTTCAGTTGAACTAAAACTAGGACTTGATTTAGTCGTAGTTAAAACTTCGACTACGTTGTTTGTGAATACAAATTGAGGTTGAAGTTGCAACTAGCACTAAATGAAGTTCTAGTTCGAAGTTTGACTAAAGTTTGTTTTAAGAATATGGGCGAAAAGCATCCAAAGAACTATCATTGTTTACCTAGTTCTCACTTTCAGCTGTTCGTTTCATTTATTTATTTATTTATTTCAACAATCTTTAATGAGCTGAAGCTGATCCATCCAGCCGAAGCTGATCATTAGGGACCCTCAGTACACATAGTAAAACAAAACAAAAGAGAGTATTAAACTAATTAATTTACAGAAAAATAAATAACAAAAAAAACAAAAAAATAGGCAAAAGAGACATTAAGACAACAAAGAAAGAAAAAAAAAAGTTAAGAATAAAGTAGCCCAAATCAAATAAAGCAAAAAGAGTATAATCCATTTAGGTGCTGCATTAATGTCAAAAATAATTTTTGACTTAAACTTAATAAAATTGTTATAATATTAATGGCTGGTTTCTGCAACAAAAACAAAAAAAACAGAAATCATGAAATTTTAACTCCGCATTCTAGGATCATACCACTTTTTATATAGGGGGTATATAATATGAATGTTACGGACAGACATTTTAATAGAAGAATATATCTTTTATATAAGAAACCTTAAATCTTTCAGCTTCTTTGATTACTGGTAATTGTAAGGGTGAAACATGTCTTAATGAATATACATGAAAAATTAGTAAATATTGTTGGTAATTAGTAAAAATACCTAATTAGCTGTAGTCCAAAATTCAGACGTCCGTCCGTAACGCAAATTAGCTTAAATGTTTTTTCATGCTTCTATACAATAGATTACAATTAAAAGAACATATTAACTTATCTCTACTACATTGACGATTACAAAATAACTTAATAAAAATTTTGTTAACGTTACAATTTTAATTACACATTTAATTAAAAATGTGTCTGTCCGTAACAAATGTTGTTACGGACGGACATGTTACGGACGAACATGCCACATAAAATACATTTTGATTGGCCAATTTATGTTAAACAATGTTGAAATGAATTATACTGAAGATGTTTATGTTTAGCAATTTTTTTTCTCATAAAATCTATCAGTAAATTGGTGGAAATATTCATTTAGTAATTATGTAACCTCAGGGTAAATGTCCGTCCGTAACGCACTTGGGTGTAATGTTCCTTCATATGCTTCAAATTTACAACATTTTTATGATTCATACTGAACTCCTTGGACATTTATAATGTAGATGTATGGTACAATTGTTTTTTACATAAAATTTTAATTAATGCTACTAATTAAAATATTGTTACAGACAGATATATCTGTGTTACGGACGGACATGTTAGGCAGTGTATGTTAAATTTACCGTGGGTCAACCAAACTACACTTTCAATTTAACAATTGATCAATTATTACATCCCAATATCATTTTTCAAAGGTAGCAATTTAATCAAATTATTATGAAAAATTTTAAGTTTAATTAATTCAAGATATTATATAGTTTAATAACGTATTTTCTCTGAAATCATTGCAATTATATAGGGCCTACTGTATGTTATGACAAATGTCAGTTTATGTACTGTTCAATTGCTTGAAAATAAAACATTTTACAAACAATCATCATTAGAGAGGCTGTTATGATCCTAAATTTAGGAAAAGTCAATTATCATTTTAAAAATCAAATTTTTTCATTAATATTTACCATTAGATGTTTGTTGCAAAAGTGTCCGTCCGTAACACAAGAAAAATGTCCGTCCGTAACATTTTCTTTTCATTAATAACTCAAAGACAAGAAAGTATTTAGTAACCAAACCAAGTCTCATTAATAGACAAGTAAAATAACTTAATTTAGCAATGAAAAATTTTTGTCAGCTCTCGCTTCCCTAGATAAAAATTTGTAAAAAAAAAAGTTGTAAAAATTAGAAACAGCGAATTCTATCTTGTCCGTCCGTAACGCTCACATTTCCGCTGCTATATTTTTAGTAACAATATAAATCCGCACAAATTTTTTTTGTAAGATAGAGTGTATACTATTCTTGCATATAAAACATATAATGAACCAGCTAAGAGTGGCATAAAATGTTTTTGGAGAATTTAAATTGAAAGTTTTGAAAAAGTGTCCGTCCGTAACGATGGATTATACTCAAAATAGATAATAAGCCTACAGTATGCATATGAGAACCACAAATCAAATCATTCTTAATTTAAAGAAAATAAATCAATTCAAATTAATATTTAAAACAGAAAATAAATAAGTGCAAATTCTAAACACAATAAAAAAAAAAAAAAAAAAAGCAAAAAAAAAAAAACATAAAAAAAAAATCACACCATTAAGCTTGTTGGCTATAATATATTGACTGTTTTCATTGGTTAATTTTCTGTAGCTCTTCTGGAATAGGTGTTTGCAATTATTCATTCCTGATGATGATCTAATAAAAGATTGATATATTGAATCACAATGACAAGTCTTACTTTAATTGGAGTATATTTTATAATAAGTTATTATTTTTTTTTTGTATTTTTTATTTCAACATTATTTTGTGAGGGGGGTCCATCTAGCCAGAGCTAATCAATTGGGACCCTCAGTACATACAATTAAAACATGTATAAAAATTAAACTTGATCTTTAACATAAACAAATTAATTAAATTATAAACCAGGAAAAAATAAATAATAATAAAAATAATAAAAATCAGAAAAAAGCAGACATAGGCCTACAGTATAAAAATAATATAAAATGATTTAAGGAAAACATTAAAGCAAAAAAAAAAAAAATAAAATAATAATAATAAATAAACAAAACTAAACAACTAAAAGTGACATATAAGACAGAAAAATAATTGAAATAAAAATTAAATCAAAGGAATTAATGAGAAGATAATTAATTGAACTAACATAAATAGGAAAAACAAACAGTTTATAAAAGATAAATAATTTACAATTCAAAACAGAACAAAAGCACGATTAAAACTATTGCAACAAAAAGAGATGGCCACGTGATGGAAAATTACACAAGGTTGAGTATCATTTATTATTAATTAATATGATCATTGGTGTTTTAATATTGGTACAATGAGCACAATATTTTATTTTAATTTGTCTACCAGTAATTTTTTTAAATCATTAGGAATCATATACAGTAATGAAACATGAAGTAATAACAGTGTTTGTTAATTGAAGAAAAAAAAATTGCAGATAAAGATTAGAGAAAAGTGCTTAAATATGAAATGCTTTCTAAAGTTCACCCAGTTGTACAGTATTAACGATAAGGATACTGTCTGGTTTTAACCAGATTCAATTTTATCCCAAAGGCCATACTGTGATAAAAAACAACCATTTAAAATTAATCAAGATATTATAAGAGAGATTAAGATCTATTTTAGATCACATTATGTTTCAGGAAACAAAACCCAGAGTAATTAATATGAAATACGCAGACATAATTTCAAAGACAACCTGTTTTCAATGTTTTAACTTGTTGAACTCTTTGATTTTGTAGACCTAAATTATCAATAAAACTTCAAGAAAATTGCTCAATTAACCACAAGTCAAGAATTTTAGCTGTTTTTATACGAAAATCCTTAAGTTTGCTGCAGAAATTTAATGTATTGTAATGTAACGTAGTTCAAATTATATAGCGCTTAATAACAAATTGTCAAAGCGCTATGGACTAGCTCGTAAAGTAACTTTCTTCTCTCCTAAGGGTCTCTTCATGTCTCAGCTACCCGGTAACTTTCTTCTCTCCTAAGGGTCTCTTCATGTCTCAGCTACCCGGTAAGTTGGTACCAGCTACTCTCATCTGTACACAACAGGGGCTGTATGGACCAATACACCGGGGTAACCCCCTACTCGTCTCGAAAGATGTACTGGGTTCTTTTAAATTCAGACAACCCAAATTGTGTACACTGGGCCTATGGTTTATACTTCTTATCTGAGAAGACTTGTTCCAAAACCAGAACCATAGGTGAGCGTGCCCTTCAAACCAACACCGATATTTTGGCTGTAGATTGCGGCGCCCCTGCATTAACTGCTTAGCCATCCAACTTGCTAAGGGTATACCAGTATGCAAACACAATAGGAAGAGTAATATACAAATACAACATGGTTGAGGTAAAGTAGTAAATTCTACTTCCTGAGGAGTTGGATGATTGGACTACCTCCTTCCGCTTCACGTCGGACATCCAATAACGACGGAAGTGAAATTAACTGCTTTACCTAAATGAAACCATGTAGTATTTATTTTACTATTCCTCATAAACAGCACACTATTCACATTAGACATTTCAATCTGTGAGGGTAAAATTATGCAGTTTGCATATGGTTCACACAGGCAGAGGTGCGATAGTCAACTTTAAATAGTACCTTTTGGTATGCGCAGCAAGTAGTAAAAAATACTGCACCCTTTACCAAGTGGAATTATCACTGAAATGTTGTTATTACCTAATAAATATTTATGAGGTATAGTAATATAAAATGCTGTTTTGGTGAGTACATCTTATTTTGTTTCTTCAAATTTTCATTAATAAGTTATTAAAATGCATTTTTTATCCCATAATTTTCAAATTATATTATATCCCGATACCTTCGATGTGGAGTTAAGAAACCTGATAGGATTGGAACCTCGCATAACACTTTATTGTGCAAGCTAGCGACCCCTCACTTAATAATTGACACCCAATTCACCTTTGCGCACCCCCCAATCAGCCCCTCCCCCTATTTCAAGACTCTGCACAAGATATACTTATTTATTAAGAAAAAAAAAATTAATTCAATATATGTCATCCTGAATTCACTCACCTGATAACTTTGAAGAACAGCCTTAAGGTCGGTGAATCCACTTTCTTCTGCGAGGTCGGGTGGTGTTTTGCCGTGACAATTTGTAAGGTTAAGTGCTTGGACAACGCACGGCATGTTCATCATATTTACGCACAAGTCGCTCAAACCATATTTGGCAGCAAAGTGAAGAATCGTTGGATATTTCTTATCCGATTTTTCTGTTACACAAATAAGAAAGTAAATTATTAAAGTGGACGAAAGCAAGAGCTAATACATTAATATTTAGCCTTTAAAGTGCTGAGGTTTGTCATTTCTAATATTATTTAGGTAAAATCTATCGCCTGGCCACAGGATTTTAGGTTAAAATGATCACATTAACTTTAACAGGTCACCACAAACACCTTTGTTTTTGTCATGCTCATCATCAATCATTGTAAAGACTTGGGTTTAAAAACATTTCCTTGGAATCTGTTGCACATGTGCCATTGTATTGTATGTTCTAGGGTCTAATAATACAGAGAAATGTTTAAAGACTTTAAATAAAGGCTAAATGCCGAACAGTACATTAAAATTCCATAACAGAACACTAAACAATCTTTAACTGGAATATACTGAACAAAATAAATAATAAACATCAAATAGAACCCATACACGATACTTCAAAAGTTTATATTATTGATTAATTGATCATGTAATGTCTAAAGTCTAAAGTGGTGTTTTGTTTACAAAGAATTATTGACATTTTGCCTGTATGTGGGGAAATTTCCCTGTATCTTCCAAAGGCTGATGGCCGATATTGTGAACAATACTTTTGGTTTACTTCCTGCTTAGATTATGACTTATATACCAAACCATTTGAAGAATAAACAAATATTATTATAAACAAATATTATTCACACTCATAACAAAGCAATTGATTTTAGTATGTCATCATCCCTGTTGAATTCTCATTTAATTCATTAAAAAAAAAAAAAAAAACATATGTATGATTATAATACATGAAAAATCAATAAAAAGAATAGCGGAATAAATAATTACATGAAAGAATGAATAAATGAATAATAATGTATGAATGAATGAATGAATTAATTAATTACGTAATGAATGAATGAATGAATGAATGAATGAACTAATGAATCGAAGCAAGCAGTCAATAAAAATTAATTAATGTATATGAAAAAAATGAAATAATTAAATGAATAAAAATAAAAAAAATCAATTAGAAACAAAAATATAAATAAAAAAAAATTAAAAGTCATCAACTTAATTACTAATGATGATAATAAATATTTAAGAAAAGCGTATGTCCCCATCATGATTAAAATCCAGGATCTTCCAACATACCATTCTGATAATCTACCATCTGAGCTATGAGGCCAAGTGGTATACACTGTTGGATTTTCCATTTAAGACACGTTCCTTTGTACAAGATATTGCATAATACACAATGAATAACAGTAAATCACATGATTTTTGGTATGAAGATACACCAGTGGAGTTGTCTACATGCCAAAGTTATTATCAAGTTAACTGTTGTTTGCATTGTTTTTTTTAAAAATCATGATGTCTTTTTTTTTTCCATTCCTGATGATGACATAATTAATGTTGAAATATTGAATCCCGACACGATGGCGTGCATTTCGATACTTGGAGTATGTATTTGCTGCGAAGCAGCCAATTCATATTCTTGACAGCAATTTGACCTCTGAAAGGTCATTGTTTGTCAAAAAACAATCGCCTAAGACAACTGAAAAGCGGAGTTTCCTTCTTTCGTTCTGCCGGGTAAAATCAATTACTTTAGGCGACGTTTGTAGACTAGCCTACTCGTACCAACGTCGGCATGTCGCGACGCTGGAGTACTATTCAGCGTTTTTACTATATTTCTAGGTTTCCTATTTCTACGCTAATCGGCTCATGTCTCAGCCACAATATTTTGAGGCCAATATTATTTACGAACCCAGTTAAACTTATTTACTAGCCTATTTCAACGTGCTAATTATTACATTTAGGCGACGCTTGTTGCAGACTGGCATAGTGTTTTCGAAAATAAATACCATTTTATACACATGCGCAGATCGATTAGCCAGCAGCGAGACATCGCCAGCAGCAGCGAGTCGCCAGCAGAGAGATGACACTGCAGCAAAACACTATTGTACACGGTACCAACGCTGTTCTAATATAGACAATGGGTCATGCTCATATTATTTGTTATATTTTTATTATTCATTATTTTCACTTGACTCGCATAAATAATTTTGTTCGAAGAACATTTTATGCAGTTGTACTTCGCAGCACTTCACTTGCAATTTGCAATTTCTAGTATACTATCTTATCTGAGATTAACCAGTGGACCTTTCGGTTCATGTCTTTTTTTCTTCATGTTCTTTGTGAGCTGTTTAATATTAAAGAGTTGCCACATTTTGTGGAATTTAATTGAGGGGGGGGGGGTTCCACCCACCTCAGTCCCACCAATGTTGGGGCTGAGGTAAAAACAATCATGATCATGTGGGACCTCTAGATGGCCGGAAATGCCACTCTCACACTTAAATTTTAATATAATTTTCTTTTTTTATTCATTTTAAAAATAATCTAAACAAATTTAGGGAAAGGGGACCCCTCTCCTTGAATTAGCCACTATCTTTGGAGAATATTGAGGCCTGCATTTCTGTAAACCTGAAATAAATTGTTGCTCACATCAAAAACTAACACAATGAAAGCAGATCGTGTTAGTTCGTGAAAACACAAAAAAAAGTGTGTTAAGACATGCTTGACAACCAATACACGCTTGACGACCAATACACGCTGGACAACCAATACACGCTTTACAAACAATACATGCTTATTTTGATGCGCTCTTTGGTTTTCACGAACTAACACATTCTACTTTGATTGTTTAGTTCATGATGTGAGCGACGAAATATGTCTACGAACCGAAAATCTCACCTGATTTTGAGACGCCGACACCAAATACATCTCTGAATCTTTCAGTTTCCATAACTTGCTTACTCAGGTTGGACAGGTAGCTGTCCAAGTGGATGTGATCACCGGGTGAAATGTTCATAGTGTCGCACAAAAACTCAATTGGATTTACGCATTCCGTTAAGATGTCCGCAAGCACATCCATGGAACTTTTAAATGTAAACCGACTTCCTGCAATGGTCTGATTGTTGGAGCAAACTACTGCTTGGACATGTCCAGCTGGATAGTCTAAATACAAGAAGTTTCAGGATTTAGGATAACTGTATATTCATTAAGGCAATAGCTATTGTTACACCAGTCTTAATTTATTTTTAAATTTATTTGGACATACACGTTTCAAACAGTGGCACACTTTGAAAGGACAAAAATGTATCCTATAATATTAACAAAAGCAAAAACAAAACATCACCAATGTTACAAAAGTATTAAACAAAAACACTATAGAATACTTATACTAAAACAGAATTACTGTACTAGCTAAATCATACTTATCATATCTATATTAGCATCCACATCATAAATCCATTTGTAAAATTTAATGTACCCATTCCCACTGTCATTTCTTTCATTACACCCTCATGTCTTTATAGCAATGTAGAAACTAATGAATACAATCAATGAAATGATTAACAAAAAATAAATAAATAAATAAAAATAAATAAAAAATAAAAATAAATAAATTAAGATAAGCATAGTTACAGTTAGGGCATGGAATTTATCATTTCATTTCACAGTTTCTATGCCCTTTTAATCTGCCTTTGTATCACAAATATCTTCACATTCACTCTAGATAGGTAACAATTCATAATTCTGAAAGGGGGGGGGGGGGGGGGGGGGGGGGGGGGGGTGGAGAGGAATAGAGGAAGAGGCCCTTCATTTTTCTTATCATTCACAAAACATAACTAATACACTGTAGAAACAATATATTGGTTTAATATAATTCATATTATAAATTGATTCTTTTTTTTTTAAATTTAAAAAACATTTTGTCAACAAAGTTTCAGTTAATTTTAATTCATTGCAAAAATCCCAAAATTGGCTTGCAGCCAAATCAAATATTTTTGTAGGAAAACTGAATTTGTTTTGATCCGTACTTCAATCAAAACCGATACTGTGATCCTAGTATATTCAGTGTTTCAACTGAACATTAGAGCAGGGAGATGTATTTTTTACACCTCCCTGATTAGAGGGTTTCCTGGAATATATAAACATTATAGTTTCAATCACCAAATAGACTTTAAGGTAATGTTATCAGTGAGAGAGCCAGCGGGAAGACAGTGAAAGGGGAAGGGGAAGGGGGCATTAATTCGCCAATGTTAAGGCCGTAGTCAGTATAATAAACAAAAACATTTTACGATATTTTTTTTAATGATTATTAGACTATTTGAAGGTCTTTGCAAAAAGAAACTAGAAAGAGTATTACAGTAATTATGCATTTGTTAATTGCCAATAATCACTTCTGAAAAGGAAAGGCTGAGCAAACCAAAGCAGAGTTGACCTTATTAGTATGGAAAAAAGAAGTGACCTTAGTATGAAAAGAAGAGGTGACCTAATATACAGTAGGTATGGATGAATCATATCATTCAGTCTGTTCAATGGTACTTAAACCAAATAAAATAAATTGTTTGTTTGCCCTTCATTTAAAAAAAAATGATAAATAGGGGTGGGTGGAAAAAGCTTCTTTTTTTTTTAATTAATTTTTTTTTTAAATACTCATCAGATAGAATAAAAATAACCCACAAAAGCCTAGAATGACAATAAATTTTACATCAGACAACAACTTTAGACTAATTTGTAGGGCATCTGGTGAAAAATATTTAGGTCTATATGAATTTGTTGCCCCTCGTTTAAAAAATTTTATATCCGTCCCTGAATTCTTTGATCAATTCTTTGTCCTTGTTTTTTTTGTTGAAATTTTAAGTTTTAAAAAAAAGAAATACAAATTTTTTTGTTTTATCTGTGTTCCATTCACTATTTTTTATTTATCTATTGTATCGTAGGGGCGGGTGGAAAAAGTTTTTTTTTAAATACTCATCAGATGGAATAAAAATAACCCACAGAGGCCTAGAATGGCAAAAGTTTTAGAGTAATTTGTAGAGCATCTGGCAAAAAAAAGAGATAAATTTAGTCATATTTTTTTTAAATTTGTAAAGAAAAAAGGTAAAAAAATTTTTTTTTTAAAGTTTTTTGTTTGTTTTCCCGCCCTCCAGAGGCTGGTGGAGGAGGGCAAACAAACAATTTCATTTTCCTTCATTGTTTCATTCACTATTTTTTATTTATCTACTGTATCATAGATATATTTTATATTGATTTAAATTGATATATAAATTGATTTTTATTTTAAGTTCGAAGAAATTTTCCTTTTCCGTTTTCTATTTTTTCATCTCTAACCTCAAATTATTTTCCATTCGTGAAGTTGTGGAAATTTTCAAGTGTTGCCAGATTTCTTAAGTGGCATATTGTTTAGCTAATCATCCAAAAATAACCACTTGGACAGTACAACTGAACATCAGTAAAGACTACAAGTTGAAAGATTATCATTTCATTATAAAGAAAAACAAAGAAAACCTAAAATACTATTATAAAATGATTAATAATACAGTACCTACATAAAATAACATAGAAATCACAAACAACATAAAACATAGAAAAAAATATAATGTAGAATAATATAAAACTTAGAAAACATGAAAAGTAATATGAAAAAGCAGAATAACCATAGAAAACATAATACCATTAAACATAGCCTATAATAACAGGTATCACAAAATAACACACAAAACAAAGAATAACATAAAACTAATTCCTCCATGATATAAACAATAACATAGAATAAAATTTAAAACAAAGACAACCAGCCACTGTTAATGTGAGAAACAAATGGCAAGGAATGGCAATATGATTGTTCAAAATAGTGTTCATTTTCCTTGCATTGTATGCTTTGAAATTCATGTGATCCTTCATAAAACTTACCTACTGTAGCCTAAAACGTGTAGCGTAGTTTGCAGATCGAAAACTCTTGTGCATACCTAAACACGCTGGCCTAGTTCAGACAAGGTGGATAAACCCGGCTCAACTCACCGGGTTTATCCACCTGCCAGTCTGAACTTGGTGGCTTATCTCAAGCCGGGCTGTGTTCCTATAGTAACTAGCCCTGGTGTGCCACCGTGTTTAACTTTTCTAAGCCAGGCTTTAATAGTTGCAGGGGTCTTGCATTGACTTCAGGTGACGAAATGACCAATCAGCATTAAATTGTGAGAGAGCGTAAGTTTCGCGAGCTATGTTTTGAAACACGTTTCCTGGTTACGATTCATTATTATGCAAATTCTCGCCTGGCTAAACCCGCTAGTCTGAACGCCTGGCAAAGTTAAGCCGGGCTTAACTCAAGCCTGGCTTATCTCCAAGTCTGAACATAGCCATTGCAGAATATGCAAGGCTAGGCCTAAAATTTGTCGAAAAAATCTTGATGTTTTTGGGGCAAGCATCTTTTGGAGTAATAGGAAACCATTAAGGCAATATTGAATTTCCAATCAATTTGGCAGAGTTTACTGGTGTTCCAACCAAGATTATTCATCAGTGCTGTAATACTACTCCTACTAAGGCCTACAGTAGATACCAACGCACCATGGACGTATTTGAGGCATGTCGAGCGAAATGGTTAAGTTGTCACACAGGCCAGTATGATTAAATGAGGTATAAAATATGGGAGCTCAAAAAATTTCCTAAAAATCTAAATTTGTTTTTCACTATAGATCAACAGTTTAATTAATCATGTCCCAAAGTATTAGTTCTGGAAGTGGTCAACAAGTTGTTTATTTAATGTTATTTTGATAGTTAATTCCATTAAACAATGTACAGTATGCACAAATAACTTTGAAAGGCAATTACTCAAAATCATGTTTATCTTGACACTGAAACTGCTGTACTTTCACTTCCCAATCTTAGGCTTGAAATGTCCAAATTCAATGAATGACCACTCATTTTAAAGATCACATACTCAGGTATCTGAATACCAATAACTTGAATTTAAATTTTTGCTACAACTTAGCCATTTTGCCATAACCTGCCTCATTTTTCCTTGAAATATGACCAAGATTTGTCGTCTTTATTCCTAATTCCCTTGGACGACTAGTCACAAAAGATAAGATAAAATAAGATAACGTTATAGTCCAATATAAAAAATGGAAATTTGTTTCCTCTTTGGCAATATAAGACATATAAACAGATCAAAATGAATAAAAAAGTTTGTGTGGTGAATTTCAGGACATCAGCAAAAAGAACAAATACAGCAATTATGATGACATTTAGCAATAACAAGGGACGCCGCCATAGCAATCTCCATGTAAACAACGATGTGTCAGTTCGTTGTTTGCATCCAACACCCATAATGTGACCAGAGATCGCGGAATCGGTGTATTGATTCAATTATTTTTTTAATGGTTTTGTTAACATTAGCAAAAGTTCAGACTTGACTATGTTTCTATTAAACTTTAAATTAAACTCCCTACAATTTATAGTTCACATTTTTGAAACCCTACTCTCATGACACAATATTGTAATTTGCAAGGATCGAACCCAGTAGTGTGGAGCAAGACGACGTGCACCTTAACCACAGCACCACTATTTTCCTTACCTGTAGGTGTTTCAACAGTTAATGTGTACGAGTTAAGTTTATCTGCAGGTGCTACACTTTTTTTATTTCCTCTGCAAAATTCAACAGTGAAATTATCCTTTCCTTCTATTGTATGGAAATCATCAAACACTAAAACGACCAATTCTGATTTCTGTAAAAAAAAAATATCAGTTAGTTCCACTAGCAGGATTAAGGCCTGTTTACACTATGATGATAACGATCAAAAGCTAAAAAGCAACTGTTCATATAGAAAATTAAAAAAAATAAAAAGTTTTCACACTAGCATTATTCGATAACGATTTATCGTGTATATACGATAAAAATATAATTTCACAAATCAAATCAAATGACGACATAATCATGGGAAAAAGATAAAATCCTATGACATCATTTAATTTGATTTGTGAAAATATTTCTTTATCGTGTACATGATAAATCGTTATCGAATTGTGCTAGTGTGAAAACTTCTCGTTTCTTTGACTTTCTAAAGCTGTAGTACTTTTTTTTACTTTTAGGCAAAACTTTTTTATACTTTGATTAGCGAACTCACCGGCCGCCAATAATGATGATTTCCAATGAAAATGTTTGGCCAATTATCGCACCCGCTGCCATGAAAAATTTATTTTTATTACGTCTGCTGCTGCCATAAAATCACCAAAAATAAGATGTGCATTTTCCTTCCTAATTACATAAATTTAAAGCATTTAACCATCCCATTACTACTATGTTACATTCAACAATATAATTTTATGTTTATTTTTTGTTCCGTCCTCCTCTGACAACCTATGAAAAAAGTTCACGAAACAAAGTATATAAAAAGGTCTCGCCTTATGGGGTATATTTAAACAAATACAACATGGTTTTATCAGTAAAAGCAGTGAATTATACAATACTTCCCTCATTGTTGGATGGTTGGGACTACCTCCCTCTGCTTCGCATCGGTAGGTAGTCCCGACTATCCAACACCCTGTATTTGTATAATAATGATGGCATTAAACTTACCCCACAGCGAGAGGAACTTGGAATAAACTTAACTGTCTGGTTGGCTATCAATATGAAAAAGAGAATCAATTTAAATATTCAACTGCAAAAAATAACAATGATAATTTAACATTTCTTTAATAATATTAACCAAAAACATAATGATATAGAGTACTGTAGTTATCTTACATACCAACAAATTAATAAATTCATTAATAATTGTTGTAAGTCATAACACAGGGTTCCTGTTACAGTAGAACACACTTTTAAGAGCTGTGCTTACCTGAAGCAAAGGGTTTAAGATGGTACAAATTTGAGGCAATGTTTAGTCAATCAGTTACTTACAGTATAGAATAAACCACAAATATTAAATTAACGAGAATACGTGTTAAACAGCAGACAAAGAAACTGTTGCAAGACAGTGGCGGATCTAGGAATTTGAAATAGAGGTGGCCCAGGGAGAGACTATGACAAATGGAGGGTTTATAAAACCTCAGACCCACCATGGCTGGGGCTGAGGTCAGAAAATTTACAATTATCTCACCTCTAGAAGGCCGGAAATGGCACTCTCAGAATTTGAATGTAATTTTCTTTTTTTTTTATAATTTTGAAAAATTTAGGGGGGAGGGGTGGGTCCGGGCCGGCAGGGCCCCATCTTGAATCCGCCACTGCAAGGTTTTAAAAATTGTTCTCTAGATACAATATTTTATTCTGTGTTAAGCTTTAGTGTGGGTAATAGAGCAAGGGTTTTTGAGGTTCGTTATACCAAAACCAGCATACTGAATTGCTAACTGTGAATGAAATTGAGTAATTAGCACAAGAATATTTGTATATTTTAGGACAGAGAAGCTTTAATTTTACTTATAACTTTGGCAATAGTATTGTATATCGATTTCAGTAAATGACCTATCATTTTAAAGATGTACTGTCCCTTGCAAAAAGCAAAAAAAAATCATAAAAATCATTTTTGAAATTTTACTTGCCCACTTTGAAGTAACATAAAAATTATCACCTTGAACATAGAAATTAGTGTATTTAAAAAATGCTTACCCATAAAAACCATCATTTTACAGCGAAAAAATGATAGAAACACTTCCAGTCACTGTAAGTGTTTTATTAACTTTATTATAATTATCCAGTTAAAAAAATCAGGGAACAAACTTTTTTAATTTAATAATTTCTATGCTCAAGTTAATAATTTGTATGTTAGTGCAAAATGAGCAAGTTAATTAAAAAAATTTTTTTTTTTTATGATTTTGGTCGTTTTCAAGGGACAGTACATCTTTAAAGCTGATAATGTGGAAAATATGGATATTAAAAAGTAAATATCCTTGTTAGGTCACTGATGCTGTTTTTGGTATAGCAAGCCCCATTTATTTAACTATAGGTATAGTACTTACATCTAGGCACCATGTCTTCATAGTCGGTTTCAAAGTTCCCCGTACCGGGAGATGTATTACCTTGCATATGCTCATACAGATCCCTCTGATCGGTAAGTTCCTCCATGTCAAGGTACAAATCCTCTGGCTGCTCCTCCTTGCTTGCCGTCATCTCCATATATGTCTCATCTCGTTTTATCATGTTCAAAGTTTCGTTAATAATCGTCTTAGGGGTCGTGTCGACCAGTTTCCAATGCTGAGACGAAGGTATCCTCATATACAAGGCCTCGATATCCTCTTCAGTTGTACCGCAGACAAGGCCGATTGTCGACATTGTTACCTGTTCGATCATCGTCGAGCAGCTTTCAACGCATTGCGGTGATATAATAACTAATTGTACTAATGAACGTCTAATATTGCTTAGTGTTACCTCGTTTGTAGGAAAGTCATTTAATCGTTCAGAGTTTTGTGTTAAGTCATAGGTTTGGAAAAGATCAAAGAGGTATTCACACCACTGGAAAGCATCGTCAAAAAATAGTATGGTCAAGTCAAATGGAGCATCTGGAAAAAATAAAGATGGTGAATAAAAGCATATTCAGTGAATAGAGACCATGTGTTATGCACTATACAAATCCCCAACCATTAAAACATTATTAATATTTGAAGTCAGTTTTTTTATTTATTTTTTTTTTTTTTTTGGCGCTAACTTTGTTGGGGGTCATTTCTACCTTGTTGACACGCCGTTTGCCAAATGACAAATCGCTGACTCACATTTTAGATAGCAAAAAAAATCAGCCATGCTACTTGAATGGAATCATCGAATGGAACAATTATTCTAATCCTGTGTGACCTATTTTAACTCTCAATCAAAAGACACGAATCTAAACAGGTGCTGTACGAAAGAAGATGACAACAGACACACAATTTTGAAAGGCTCTGGCAAATCCTGCCATTTGTCAACAATTTCTAATTTCCCACAAGCACCCAAAACATTTGAGAATCAGAATTTTGAACATTTTCATGTTTTTTTCATATTATACAACAAAAAAAAGATGTATTGAAGAACATTTCTGCAAAGCATCAGTCACTAAATCTTACTGAAATGTATATAAAATGATTTTTAAAATACAAATCTTAATAATAAACTATTGATTTTGGAATCTTTGGAAACAGTTTTCTTAAACCTACATGGCTGTTAACCAATCAATTAAATATTCATAACTTTGCTATTTTATACTCAACCGATTTCCATCAAATAAACACTGTTTTAAAGAATTCATGCAGGATTCAAAAACACTAAAATCTTAAGTTTGTATTAATCCTATAAACAGCTGGTTTTGCCAGAGCTGGTGGCAACTATTTGACTTAAATTTTTTAAAACTTTGTACTTTTATGTACTGTACTTGATGTTGTCATGATTGACTGTTGAGCATATCAGTTGGGTCCAAAGTTCCCTGCAAGTGGTGCGATTCTCCCGGATATGTAATTTATTTATTTAATATATTTGATATAAAAAATGTCAAAAATATTTCTATTTTTTAATTTGGTACTGAAAACCAAAAATAATGGTTGAGTTATAATACAACATTTCCAAACATAAAGATAAAGATAAACTATTTCCCACAAATTCAGAATGTTTTTACATCTGTTAGTAATAATAATTATTGAGTGGACCTGATCAAGGGTAATGATGCAAAAAAATACAAGTTAAGATGTTTTAAAAAAGCTCATTACTTCAAAAGGCCTTGAAGTGTCCTCTCCTAATTGTAAGAATGCAGATCTGTTTTGAAAGGGGGGGGGGGGGGGAGGACAGTCATGAGTCCACATCTACCTCAGCCCACCATGGTTGGGGTTGAGGTGCGAAAATTTGGGGAAATAGTACAGTAGGCCTACCTCTAGATGGCCAGAAATGATACTCTTATAAATTAGTAAAATTCATCATCATGTACTCTGCCTGTACAGTGCTCTCTCGTTAAAACCTGGTTCATTTATGCAGTTCAATTTTCAGGCATCTTCTTGACTTAGGAAATTACATTGCAGTCGAAAATTGGGGGCCATCCCCCATCCTCAAAAATATGTGGGGGGGGGGAACGTGTTCCCATGATCTCTGCCCATGGCAACTTGGGATCACTGGGCAAATTCATTCTTTCACATTGTCTCTGAATGCCCATGATCTTGGTTTTAGAGACAACCATCAAATATTCAAACAGGATATCCAAACTGAGCGTGTGCGAGAATAATTTATATATTTCCCCTACTTTTTTTGTGTTGAGCTAAATAGTTTGTCCACAGATAAAAATATGAGATAACATTGTACCATCATACACAAGGTCAGTCTGGATGCTTACAGTACATCTAAACATTTACATAGCTTTTGATTGCACAACAAAGTAGAACATCATGGGTGTATGCAAGGGGGAGGGGGTTCGGTAAGGTCGTACTGTACGACCCCCCCTCCCCAAAATTTTCAAAGGTCCACATTTTTTCCAGACATTTTTTCTCTAGGGCCTTTTCACAATGATATAAATGGAAAAGCATTGATGAGGTACCAGCTATAAGTCCAAAGGCCGTGCCAATTGCGTGACGTAATCTATCTCAATTCCAGCAATTCTGGAACTGAGCCTGCCATCCGCTTTAAGCTGGTGGCGCTGTAATAGATTTTCCTGTCTGCCACTGAAAAGGTAAAAAAAATCATGATCACGACCCACCCAGAAAAAATCCTGGATACATCCCTGGACGTAGGACGCAGTCATCTGCACATACAAGAACGTTTTTTTTCTCCTTGTCGCATGGATTCTAGGACGCATATTGACCGAATCTACGTTGTGCAAAGAATGTAGAATGGATATGCTCCCTATGATTAAATCTAATATATTAATATGAAAACTTCTGGTCTTACTGTACTCTACAAAGCTTCTATATCTATTTTTTACAGGATATTCATGTGTTGTTTTAATTGTTTTTTGTAAAAATTTATTGGACACCTCTTATAAAATCTAGTACAATAATATGAAAGCTTCTGGTCTAATATCTTTTTTTTACAGGATATTCATAAGCGTTGTTTGAACTTTTTTGTTAACATTTATAGGACACCTCTTCTAGACTTCTTTTTACCTCCTTTTGCAAAGCCAATGACTGCCGATAACATTATTTTTGTAAATAATATGAGCATAGAACACCGATTCAAAGCGCACCCTCTATTAATTTTATTGTTTTTATTTATTTATTTATTTGTTCTTTATACTGGGTTTCCTCTTCAGTAACAAATTACTGTTCTCCCAGAGGGCCCAGTACACATAAAACAGTCCACGACACACAAGACAAACATACACAATACAAACATACACCCATGATGCTTTACACAAACTAAATCTCAATATGAGGTTTAGTGAGTCTAGTTTGTTTTGGTAGTGAGAAAAAGTCCTGCAACTGACAGGAATTGAACCCATGACCCTGGGATTGGAAGGCAAGCATCTTAACCACCAAGCTATTCTAATCCACATCAGACACCCCCATTTTTTTTCTTATTCATCAATAAAATTCATTTATATTTTCTTCCCTGCATAGACACATTTTGGCAAACCATTTAACTACTGTACTCCGAATGAGAAAATTTCTTTTTATTCTCTATTGTCTGCAACTGACATTTCAAAAATGTGCTTAAAACTATATTGCAAAACAACTCTTGCGTCCTAATGTTTACATTATTTCTGATTTCATAAAGCACAAACATTTTTTACACTATCATCCTCTACACCTGTTTACAGTTATTCAATCTTTTCGTCAAACGTCAGTTGCACTTAGAAATTTTTGAATCATTTGCATTTCCTATCCCAATTCTTACTGTGAAATTGATTGGTTCTAAATCCTTCCTTCCATATGCCATATTTCCATCCAGTAAACGCAAAGCATAATTATTGCTTTCGTAAACATTGTGAACACTGTAGTGAGGTTGTGTTCAGTGGCGTATCGAGAAGTCTTGAAAAGGGGGTGCTGATGGAGGGCATGAAGGTGAAGTGGTGGGGGGGGGGACTCAATGATCAGTTGACGGGCACTAACTCACAAAATAAGGTGATTTTAGGTGATTTTTAACTACTTGAAAATGATTTTTTTTAACATTTAATGTAAATTTGATAGCTGACGTCTCCTTTCTAACATCGATCCTTCTAAACATCATCAGTGTCAATCCTGTTCTGTCAATTCTACATAAGATCGTATCTTAGGGCCAGATCTGGGAGTTACAGTATATGAAAGACAAATAGAAAGCAAGAGGCTGAAGACAGTTGGAAGGGGGAGAAAGGGGATCACAATTTGAATAGGGGAGGGGGATGACAAAGTTTGACAAAAGGGTAGTGTTGATTGATATTTTTTCACCTGTTCAGTCGGAAAGAATTTCCCCACATTTTATAACAAATATTTTCATGTGCATTCATGACTGCACCAACATCATAATCTTTATAAATCATCAAAACACATAAATCATAATTACCATTATGAACATCAACATCATTGTCATCAAACATTTTTTTGTTCATTCATTCTTTGTTCAGCCAAACATGTACATTTACAATAAAAATGAAATAAGAAAAGAACGATCAATTGAAACGAATCATCATCATCAATATCATTAACATTCGCCCCTCATCATCCTCACATACTGTACTCACATAAACTC